TTACTACTACTACTACTACTATTATTATTATTATTATTATTATTATTATTATTATTATTATTATATCTCCTGTCGCTTCTCTTCCACACTTTATTATTACTATTACTAATACTATTACTATTACTATTATTATTACTATTATTACTATTATTACTACTACTATTATTACTCCTGTCGCTTCTCTTCCACGCTTTATTACTATTACTATTACTATTACTATTACTATTGTTGTCATCATCATCATCATCATCATCATCATCATCATCATCATCATATCTCTTGCCGCTTCTCTTCCAGGTATTATTATTATTATTATTATTATTATTATTATTATTATTATTATTATTATTATTATATCTCCTGTCGCTTCTCTTCCACACTTTATTATTACTATTACTAATACTATTACTATTACTACTATTATTATTATTATTACTATTATTATTACTACTATTATTATTATTACTCCTGTCGCTTCTCTTCCACACTTTATTATTATTACTATTACTAATACTATTACTGTTGTTATCATCATCATCATCATCATATCTCTTGCCGCTTCTCTTCCAGGTATTATTATTATTATTATTATTATTATTATTATTATTATTATTATTATTATTTATTATCATTATATCTCCTGTCGCTTCTCTTCCACACTTTATTATTACTATTACTAATACTATTACTATTACTATTACTACTATTATTACTACTACTATTATTACTCCTGTCGCTTCTCTTCCACGCTTTATTATTATTACTATTACTAATACTATTACTATTGTTATCATCATCATCATCATCATCATCATATCTCTTGCCGCTTCTCTTCCAGGTATTATTATTATTATTATTATTATTATATTATTATTATTATTACTATTACTGTTGTTATTATTATTATTATTATTATTATTATTATTATTATTATTATTATTATTGTTATATCTCCTGTCGCTTCTCTTCCACACTTTATTATTACTATTACTAATACTATTACTATTATTATTACTATTATTATTACTATTACTACTACTACTATTATTATTACTCCTGTCGCTTCTCTTCCACGCTTTATTATTATTACTATTACTAATACTATTACTATTGTCATCATCATCATCATCATCATCATCATCATCATATCTCTTGCCGCTTCTCTTCCAGGTATTATTATTATTATTATTATTATTATTATTATTATTATTATTATTATTATTATATCTCCTGTCGCTTCTCTTCCACACTTTATTATTACTATTACTAATACTATTACTATTACTACTATTATTATTATTATTACTATTATTATTACTACTATTATTATTATTACTCCTGTCGCTTCTCTTCCACACTTTATTATTATTACTATTACTAATACTATTACTGTTGTTATCATCATCATCATCATCATATCTCTTGCCGCTTCTCTTCCAGGTATTATTATTATTATTATTATTATTATTATTATTATTATTATTATTATTATTATTTATTATCATTATATCTCCTGTCGCTTCTCTTCCACACTTTATTATTACTATTACTAATACTATTACTATTACTATTACTATTACTACTATTATTACTACTACTATTATTACTCCTGTCGCTTCTCTTCCACGCTTTATTATTATTACTATTACTAATACTATTACTATTGTTATCATCATCATCATCATCATCATCATCATCATCATCATATCTCTTGCCGCTTCTCTTCCAGGTATTATTATTATTATTATTATTATTATTATTATTATTATTATTATTATTACTATTACTGTTGTTGTTATTATTATTATTATTATTATTATTATTATTATTATTATTATTATTATTGTTATATCTCCTGTCGCTTCTCTTCCACACTTTATTATTACTATTACTAATACTATTACTATTATTATTACTATTATTATTACTATTACTACTACTACTATTATTATTACTCCTGTCGCTTCTCTTCCACGCTTTATTATTATTACTATTACTAATACTATTACTATTGTCATCATCATCATCATCATCATCATCATCATCATATCTCTTGCCGCTTCTCTTCCAGGTATTATTATTATTATTATTATTATTATTATTATTATTATTATTATTATTACTATTATTATTACTATTATTACTACTACTATTGCTATTATTATCATTATTATTGCTACTATTACTACTGCTGCTATTATTATTATTATTATTACTACTACTACTATTATTATTATTATTATTATTATTATTATTATTATTATTATTATTTTCTGATTAATTTCTTCCGCCAGGCTTTCCCCGATAACGCCGCCCGGCGCGAGGTGGAAAGTCTCCCGGCCGCCTGCCTCCGCAAGGACTGCCCCTGGAAAGGGACCGTCAAGGAGTATGAGGTGAGTACTTGGCTTCCGGGCGACGGGTTCGAATCCCGGCTCCTTCTTCTCTCTTGATTGGTCGAAATTCCCGCGTTTTGGGGGGTCAGGCTGGGTGACCCTGGCGTCCCAATACTTGGGCTGAGGAGGATGGTAGTAGTAGGAGTAGTAGTAGGAGTATTAGTGGTACTATTAGTGCTATTAGGACTGTTAGGTATGCTATTAGCCGCTCTGAGCCTGGTTTTGGCTGAGGACAGTGGTAGTAGTAGTAGTAGTAGTAGTAGTAGTAGTAGTATTGGTGGTGGTACTATTAGTACTCTTGTGTATGATGTTAGCCGCTCTGAGCCTGGTTTTGGCTGAGGACATTGGTGGTGGTAGTAGTAGTAGTAGTAGTAGTAGTAGTAGTAGTATTGGTGGTGGTACTATTAGTACTCTTGTGTATGATGTTAGCCGCTCTGAGCCCAGAGGGTGGTATTATCAGTAGCAGTAGTAGCATGAATAGTAGTATTAGTACTCTTGTGTATGTTAGCTGCTTTGAGAGTGGTGTGGTGCTGGTGGTGGTAATATTAGTAGTATTAGTACTGTTAGTAGTATTAGTACTATTATGTATGATGCTAGCCACTCTGAGGCTAGCTTTGGCTGTGGAGGGTGGTATCAGTAGTAGTAGTAGTAGTAGTAGTAGTAGTAGTAGTATGAGTATGAGTATGAGTATGAGTATGAGTATTAGTGGTACTATTAGTGCTATTAGGACTGTTATGTATGATATTAGCCGCTCTGAGCCTGGTTTTGGCTGAGGACAGTGGTAGTAGTAGTAGTAGTAGTAGTAGTAGTAGTAGTAGTAGTATTGGTGTGGTACTATTAGTGCTCTTGTGTATGATGTTAGCCGCTCTGAGCCCAGAGGGTGGCATTATCAGTAGCAGTAGTAGTATTAGTACTGTTAGTAGTATTAGTACTATTATGTATTATGTTAGCCACTCTGGGGCTAGCTTTGGCTGCGGAGGGTGGTATCAGTAGTAGTAGTAGTAGTAGTAGTAGTAGTAGTATGAGTATGAGTATTAGTGGTACTATTAGTGCTATTAGGACTGTTATGTATGATATTAGCCGCTCTGAGCCTGGTTTTGGCTGAGGACAGTGGTGGTGGTAGTAGTAGTAGTAGTAGTAGTAGTAGTAGTAGTAGTAGTGGTATTGGTGGTGGTACTATTAGTACTCTTGTGTATGATGTTAGCCGCTCTGAGCCCAGAGGGTGGTATTATCAGTAGCAGTAGTAGCATAAATAGTAGTATTAGTACTGTTAGTAGTATTAGTACTATTATGTATTATGTTAGCCACTCTGGGGCTAGCTTTGGCTGCGGAGGGTGGTATCAGTAGTAGTAGTAGTAGTAGTAGTAGTAGTAGTAGTAGTAGTAGTATTAGTGGTACTATTAGTGCTATTAGGACTGTTATGTATGATATTAGCCGCTCTGAGCCTGGTTTTGGCTGAGGACAGTGGTGGTGGTGGTGGTAGTAGTAGTAGTAGTAGTAGTATTGGTGGTGGTACTATTAGTACTATTGTGTATGATGTTAGGCGCTCTGAGCCTGGTTTTGGCTGAGGACAGTGGTGGTAGTAGTAGTAGTGTTGGTGGTGGTACTATTAGTACTCTTGTGTATGATGTTAGCCGCTCTGAGCCTGGTTTTGGCTGAGGACAGTGGTGGTGGTAGTAGTAGTAGTAGTAGTAGTAGTAGTATTGGTGGTGGTACTATTAGTACTCTTGTGTATGATGTTAGCCGCTCTGAGCCCAGAGGGTGGTATTATCAGTAGCAGTAGTAGCATGAATAGTAGTATTATTACTGTTAGTAGTATTAGTACTATTATGGATGATGTTAGCCACTCTGAGGCTAGCTTTGGCTGCGGAGGGTGGTATCAGTAGTAGTAGTAGTAGTAGTAGTAGTAGTATGAGTATGAGTATGAGTATTAGTGGTACTATTAGTGCTATTAGGACTGTTATGTATGATATTAGCTGCTCTGAGCCTGGTTTTGGCTGAGGACAGTGGTAGTAGTAGTAGTAGTAGTAGTAGTAGTATTGGTGGTGGTACTATTAGTACTATTGTGTATGATGTTAGCCGCTCTGAGCCCAGAGGGTGGTATTATCAGTAGCAGTAGTAGCATGAATAGTAGTATTATTACTGTTAGTAGTATTAGTACTATTATGTATGATGTTAGCCACTCTGAGGCTAGCTTTGGCTGCGGAGGGTGGTATCAGTAGTAGTAGTAGTAGTAGTAGTAGTAGTAGTAGTAGTAGTAGTATGAGTATGAGTATGAGTATGAGTATGAGTATTAGTGGTACTATTAGTGCTATTAGGACTGTTATGTATGATATTAGCTGCTCTGAGCCTGGTTTTGGCTGAGGACAGTGGTGGTAGTAGTGGTAGTAGTATTGGTGGTGGTACTATTAGTACTCTTGTGTATGATGTTAGCCGCTCTGAGCCCAGAGGGTGGTATTATCAGTAGCAGTAGTAGCATGAATAGTAGTATTAGTACTCTTGTGTATGTTAGCTGCTGGGAGAGTGTTGTGGTGGTGGTGGTGGTGGTAATATTAGTAGTATTAGTACTGTTAGTAGTATTAGTACTATTATGTATGATGTTAGCCACTCTGAGGCTAGCTTTGGCTGCGGAGGGTGGTATCAGTAGTAGTAGTAGTAGTAGTATGAGTATGAGTATGAGTATTAGTGGTACTATTAGTGCTATTAGGACTGTTATGTATGATATTAGCTGCTCTGAGCCTGGTTTTGGCTGAGGACAGTGGTGGTAGTAGTAGTAGTAGTAGTAGTAGTAGTAGTAGTATTGGTGGTGGTACTATTAGTACTCTTGTGTATGATGTTAGCCGCTCTGAGCCCAGAGGGTGGTATTATCAGTAGCAGTAGTAGCATGAATAGTAGTATTAGTACTCTTGTGTATGTTAGCTGCTTTGAGAGTGGTGTGGTGGTGGTGGTGGTAATATTAGTAGTATTAGTACTGTTAGTAGTATTAGTACTATTATGTATGATGTTAGCCACTCTGAGGCTAGCTTTGGCTGCGGAGGGTGGTATCAGTAGTAGTAGTAGTAGTAGTAGTAGTAGTAGTAGTAGTAGTATGAGTATGAGTATGAGTATGAGTATTAGTGGTACTATTAGTGCTATTAGGACTGTTATGTATGATATTAGCTGCTCTGAGCCTGGTTTTGGCTGAGGACAGTGGTAGTAGTAGTAGTAGTAGTATTGGTGGTGGTACTATTAGTACTCTTGTGTATGATGTTAGCCGCTCTGAGCCCAGAGGGTGGTATTATCAGTAGCAGTAGTAGCATGAATAGTAGTATTATTACTGTTAGTAGTATTAGTACTATTATGGATGATGTTAGCCACTCTGAGGCTAGCTTTGGCTGCGGAGGGTGGTATCAGTATCAGTAGTAGTAGTAGTAGTAGTAGTAGTAGTAGTAGTAGTATGAGTATTAGTGGTACTATTAGTGCTATTAGGACTGCTATGTATGATATTAGCCGCTCTGAGCCTGGTTTTGGCTGAGGACAGTGGTGGTGGTGGTAGTAGTAGTAGTAGTAGTAGTAGTAGTATTGGTGGTGGTACTATTAGTACTCTTGTGTATGATGTTAGCCGCTCTGAGCCCAGAGGGTGGTATTATCAGTAGCAGTAGTAGCATGAATAGTAGTATTAGTACTATTGTGTATGTTAGCTGCTGGGAGAGTGTTGTGGTGGTGGTGTTAGTAATATTAGTAGTATTATGTATTATGTTAGCCACTCTGAGGCTAGCTTTGGCTGCGGAGGGTGGTATCAGTAGTAGTAGTAGTAGTAGTAGTAGTAGTAGTAATACTGCTCTGAGTCTGGCTTTGGCCAGGGAGGGTGGTAGTAGTAGTAGTAGTAGTAGTACCATTAGTACTATTATGTATGATGTTAGCCACACTGAGTCTGGCTTTGGCCAGGGAGAGTGGTATTACTACTACTACTACTGGTGGTGGTGGTGGTGGTAGTAGTAGTACTATTAGTACTATTATGTATTGTTAGTCGCTCTGAGCCTGGCTTTGGCCGAGGAGGTGGTATTAGTAGTATTATTAGTAGTACTATTAGTACTAGTATGTATGAGGTTAGCCACTCTGAGCCGGCTTTGGCCGGGGAGGGTGGTGGTAGTAATAGTAGTAGTAGTAGTAGTAGTAGTAGTAGTAGTAGTTTTCTGTATGATGCTAGCCACTCTGAGCCCAGCTTTGGCCGGGGAGGGTGAGATCTAAATAAATTCATTATTGTAGTAGTAGTAGTACTTGTAGTACTTTTCTGTAAGATGTTTCCACGTCCAGCGTGTTACTAACTTCTAACTCCGGAGTAAACCCAGAGTAATAATCCTTGCTTCCCCCCAGGCTCACGAGGAGGCCTGTCCCAAGTTCCCCCTCACCTGCGACGGCTGCGGCAAGACGGACGTCCCGCGGGAATCGGTGAGCCGCCCTCGCCCCGGGGTGGAGTAACGTTACTCCGGGGTGACGTTACTCCGGGTATTGCCCCCTCCACCCTCTGACCTTCCTCCTCCTCTTCCTTAGTTCGCCGATCACGTCCGGAGCTGCGGAAGCTTCCGGGCGCCGTGCCGCTTCCGGCCCGTCGGCTGCGGCGAGGTGGTGAGTGCGAGTTGCTACTCGGGGCGGGGCGGGGGGAACGTTGCTGCGAGTACAAGGAGTAGGAGTGGTATTAGTGTGGTTAGGAGTATTGGTGTGATCGGTATTGGGAAGATGGGATGTGATGAGTATTAGGATTAAGTATAGTATAGTATAGTATAGTGGTAGTAGGTAGTGGTAGTAGTGGTGGTGGTGGTAGTAGTAGTAGTAGTAATAATAATAATAATAATAATAATAATAATAATAATAATAATAATAATATAGTATAGTGGTATATATAGTGTAGTGGTGTGGTGGTGGTGTGAGGAGTAGTAGTGGTTAGTGTGAGTAGTACTTCTGTGGTTATTAGTAGTAATGGTATTAATATTAGTAGTATGACCGCTTTGATGGATATTGTAGTACATTACAACAATATACTACTAGTAATCAGAGCAATATTACTGCTGATCAGAGCAATCTACTGCTAATAATTGCTAATACAATTAGTAGTATATTACTACAATCTACTACTAAGAATCAGCAATATTACTACTACAATTAGTAGTACATTACTACAATCTACTACTAAGAATCAGACCAATATTACTACTACAATTAGTAGTATATAACTACAATATACTACTAAGAATCAGAGCAATATTCCTACTACAATTAGTAGTATATAACTACAATCTACTACTAAGAATCAGAGCAATATTACTACGAAGAGTCAGACCAATATTACTACTACAATTAGTAGTATATAACTACAATCTACTACTAAGAATCAGAGCAACATTACTACCACAATTAGTAGTATATAACTACAATATACTACTAAGAGTCAGACCAATATTACTACTACAATTAATAGTATATAACTACAATCTACTACTAAGAGTCAGAGCAATATTACTACTAATCAGGGCAATATTACTACTACAATTAGTAGTATATTACTACAATCTACTACTAATAACCAGATCAAGATTACTACTAATCAGAGCAATATTACTACTACAATTAGTAGTATATAACTACAATCTACTACTAAGAATCAGCAATATTACTACTACAATTAGTAGTACATTACTACAATCTACTACTAAGAATCAGACCAATATTACTACTACAATTAGTAGTATATAACTACAATATACTACTAAGAATCAGAGCAATATTACTACTACAATTAGTAGTATATAACTACAATATACTACTAAGAATCAGAGCAATATTACTACGAAGAGTCAGACCAATATTACTACTACAATTAGTAGTATATAACTACAATCTACTACTAAGAATCAGAGCAATATTACTACCACAATTAGTAGTATATAACTACAATATACTACTAAGAGTCAGACCAATATTACTACTACAATTAATAGTATATAACTACAATCTACTACTAAGAGTCAGAGCAATATTACTACTAATCAGGGCAATATTACTACTACAATTAATAGTATATAACTACAATCTACTACTAAGAGTCAGACAATATTACTACTAATCAGGGCAATATTACTACTACAATTAGTAGTATATTACTACAATCTACTACTAAGAGTCAGAGCAATATTACTACTAATAAGACCAATATTACTACTACAATTAGTAGTATATTACTACAATCTACTACTAAGAATCAGAGCAATATTACTACTACAATTAGTAGTATATAACTACAATATACTACTAAGAGTCAGACCAATATTACTACTACAATTAATAGTATATAACTACAATCTACTACTAAGAGTCAGAGCAATATTACTACTAATCAGACCAATATTACTACTACAATTAGTAGTATATTACTACAATCTACTACTAATAATCAGAGCAATATTACTACTACAATTAGTAGTATATTACTACAATCTACTACTAAGAGTCAGAGCAATATTACTACTACAATTAGTAGTATATTACTACAATCTACTACTAAGAGTCAGAGCAATATTACTACTAATCAGACCAATATTACTACTACAATTAGTAGTATATTACTACAATCTACTACTAATAATCAGAGCAATATTACTACTACAATTAGTAGTATATTACTACTGCTAATCGGACCAATATTACTACTACAATTAGTAGTATATTACTACAATCTACTACTAAGAATCAGAGCAATATTACTACTACAATTAGTAGTATATTACTACAATCTACTACTAAGAGTCAGAGCAATATTACTACTAATCAGACCAATGTTACTACTACAATTAGTTGTATATAACTACAATCTACTACTAAGAATCAGAGCAATATTACTACTAATCAGACCAATATTACTACTAATCAGAGCAATATTACTGCTCCAATTAGTAGTATATTACTACAATCTGCTACTAATAACCAGATCAGTCTCACTACTAATCAGACCAATATTACTACTCCGATTAGTAGTATATTACTACAATCTGCTACTAATAAGCAGATCAGTCTTACTACTAATCAGACCAATATTACTACTCCAATTAGTAGTATATTACTACAATCTGCTACTAATAACCAGATCAATCTTACTACTAATCAGAGCAATATTACTACTGCAATTAGTAGTATATTACTGCAATCTACTACTAAGAATCAGATCAATATTACTACTAATCAGACCAATATTACTACTACAATTAGTAGTATATTACTACAATCTGCTACTAAGAATCAGAGCAATATTACTACTAATCAGACCAATATTACTACTACGATTAGTAGTATATTACTACAATCTGCTACTAATAACCAGATCAATCTTACTACTAATCAGAGCAATATTACTACTGCAATTAGTAGTATATTACTACAATCTGCTACTAATAACCAGATCAGTCTTACTACTAATCAGACCAATATTACTACTCCAATTAGTAGTATATTGCTACAATCTGCTACTAATAACCAGATCAGTCTTACTACTAATCAGACCAATATTACTACTCCGATTAGTAGTATATTACTACAATCTGCTACTAATAAGCAGATCAATATTACTACTAATCAGACCAATATTACTACTCCAATTAGTAGTATATTACTACAATCTGCTACTAATAACCAGATCAGTCTTACTACTAATCAGACCAATATTACTACTCCAATTAGTAGTATATTACTACAATCTGCTACTAATAACCAGATCAATATTACTACTAATCAGAGCAATATTACTACTCCAATTAGTAGTATATTACTACAATCTGCTACTAATAACCAGATCAATATTACTACTATCAGACCAATATTACTACTCCGATTAGTAGTATATTACTACACTCTGCTACTAATAACCAGATCGGTCTCACTACTAATCAGACCAATATTACTACTCCGATTAGTAGTATATTACTACACTCTGCTACTAATAACCAGATCAGTCTTACTACTAATCAGACCAGTATTACTACTCCGATTAGTAGTATATTACTACACTCTGCTACTAATAACCAGATCAGTCTTACTACTAATCAGACCAGTATTACTACTCCGATTAGTAGTATATTACTACACTCTGCTACTAATAACCAGATCAATATTACTACTAATCAGACCAATATTACTACTCCGATTAGTAGTATATTACTACACTCTGCTACTAATAACCAGATCAGTCTTACTACTAATCAGACCAATATTACTACTCCGATTAGTAGTATATTACTACAATCTGCTACTAATAACCAGATCAGTCTCACTACTAATCAGACCAATATTACTACTGCAATTAGTAGTATATTACTACAATCTGCTACTAATAACCAGATCAGTCTTACTACTAATCAGACCAATATTACTACTACGATTAGTAGTATATTACTACACTCTGCTACTAATAACCAGATCAGTCTCACTACTAATCAGACCAGTATTACTACTACGATTAGTAGTATATTACTACACTCTGCTACTAATAACCAGATCAGTCTCACTACTAATCAGACCAATATTACTACTCCGATTAGTAGTATATTACTACAATCTGCTACTAATAACCAGATCAGTCTCACTACTAATCAGACCAATATTACTACTACGATTAGTAGTATATTACTACCATCTGCTACTAATAACCAGATCAGTCTCACTACTAATCAGACCAGTATTACTACTCCGATTAGTAGTATATTACTACACTCTGCTACTAATAACCAGATCAATATTACTACTAATCAGACCAATATTACTACTACGATTAGTAGTATATTACTACACTCTGCTACTAATAACCAGATCAGTCTCATTACTAATCAGACCAATATTACTACTCCGATTAGTAGTATATTACCACACTCTGCTACTAATAACCAGATCAGTCTTACTACTAATCAGACCAATATTACTACTCCGATTAGTAGTATATTACTACACTCTGCTACTAATAACCAGATCAGTCTTACTACTAATCAGACCAATATCACTACTACGATTAGTAGTATATTACTACACTCTGCTACTAATAACCAGATCAGTCTCACTACTAATCAGACCAATATCACTACTCCGATTAGTAGTATATTACTACACTCTGCTACTAATAACCAGATCAGTCTCACTACTAATCAGACCAATATCACTACTCCGATTAGTAGTATATTACTACACTCTGCTACTAATAACCAGATCAGTCTTACTACTAATCAGACCAGTATTACTACTCCGATTAGTAGTATATTACTACACTCTGCTACTAATAACCAGATCAGTCTCACTACTAATCAGAGCAGTATTACTACTACAATTAGTAGTATATTACTACAATCTGCTACTAATAAGCAGATCAATCTTACTACTAATCAGACCAATATTACTACTCCAATTAGTAGTATATTACTACACTCTGCTACTAATAACCAGATCAGTCTTACTACTAATCAGACCAATATTACTACTACGATTAGTAGTATATTGCTACCATCTGCTACTAATAACCAGATCAGTCTCACTACTAATCAGACCAGTATTACTACTCCGATTAGTAGTATATTACTACACTCTGCTACTAATAACCAGATCAGTCTCACTACTAATCAGAGCAGTATTACTACTACGATTAGTAGTATATTACTACACTCTGCTACTAATAACTAGATCAGTCTCACTATTGTACTACTACTCCTACTCCTGCTTTGAGTAGTCATGCTACTCAGGAGTAACTTTACTCACCCCCCGTTTCGCAGCTGGAGAAGGAGGCCCTGCCCCTCCACGAGGCCCAGAACTTTCCGGAACATCTCGGCCTCCTCCTGGACTTCGCCCTCCGGCTGGGGGCCCCGGACCCCCATTTCTTCGGGGCCCCCCATTCGGCCCCAGACCCCTGTTTCTTCGGGGCCCCCGATCTGGTCCAAGACCCCCAATCGGCCCAAGAGCCCCACTTCTCCGGGGCCCCCCATTCGGACAAAGACCCCCCTTTGGCCCCGGACCCCCATATCTCCGGGGCCCCCGATCTGGTCCAAGAGCCCCGTCTGGCCGGGGCCCCCAATTCGGCCCCCCGTTTATTGGGGGCCACACCTTCAGCCCAGGACCCCCATCTAGTTGGGGCCCCCAATTTGGGTAAAGACCCCCATTTGCTCCGAGACCCCCATTTATGGGGGGCCCCACATGCGCTCAAGGAACCCCCTCAGGTTGGGGCCCCCAATTCAACCCATATCCTAGGGGCCCCACATCCAGCCAAGGAACCCCATTCAGCTCACGACCCCCATTTCCTGGGGGCCCCACATTTGGCCCCAGACCCCCATCCAATCAGGGCCCCCCATTCAGCTCCAGACCCCCATCTGGCCAAAGACCCCCATTTCCTCGGGGCCCCGGATCCGTCCCAAGCCCCCCGCTTGCCCCCAGACCCCCATCTGCCCAGGGGCCACAATTCAGACCCCCATGTCCTGGGGGCCCCACATTCGGCCCCAGACCCCCATCCAACCAGGGGCCCCCATTTGGCCCCGGACCCCCGTTCAGCCCCGGACCCCCATGTCCTGGGGGCCCCACATTTGGCCCCAGACCCCCATCCAACCAGGGGCCCCCATTTGGCCCCGGACCCCCATGTCCTGGGGGCCCCACATTGGGCGGCCCTCGAACTCAAGGCCTCCACCCTAGAGAAGATCGTCTGCGTCCTGAACCGGGAAGTGGAGCGGCTGGCGGCCGAATCGGCGCAAGAGCGGCGCCGGGAAGAGGAGCGCGCCGAAGCGCTGACCCACAAGGTTCGGGGGGGCCGGGGTCCCGATCCGGTTCAAGCCCCGAAACTCTGACCCACAAACCGGAGTCAGTCTGAAGCCCCAAAGTGGAGTCAGTCTGGAGCCCCAAAGCGGAGTCAGTCTGACGCCCCAAAGAGGAGTCAAAGTGGAGTCAGTCTGAAGCCCCAAAGCGGAGTCAGTCAGGAGCCCCAAAGCGGAGTCAGTCTGGAGCCCCAAAGCGGAGTCAGTCTGAAACCCCAAAGCGGAGTCAAAGTGGAGTCAGTCTGAAACCCCAAAGCGGAGTCAGTCTCGAGCCCCAAAGGGGTGTCAGTCTGGAGCCCCAAAGCGGAGTCAGTCTGATGC